GTTTTACAAGCCCACTCTTGGTCCAACTATTTGGAGCTGGACAGAAAAGGGTCATTTGATATAAACCTCTCCCCATCTTCCCCTTTCTCTATTCTCCCCAGTTTCTGGTAACCACTGTTTTACTTTTAATTTCTATGAGATCGATTATTTTAGGTTCCACACGAGTGACATCATGTGGTATTTGTTAATGTGCCTGGCTTATTTCACTTGGAAAACTGGGTATTCACATGCAAAAGAATGAAACTTGACCCCTATCTCTTACCATATACAAAAATCAACTTGAAGTGGATTAAACACTTAAAGGTAAGACCCAAAACTATGAAACTATTAGAAGAAAACACAGGAGAAACAGTACATGATGTTGGTCCAAGCAAGGATATTTTTACACAAATGTGAGCAACAAAAGCAAAAATAAACAAATGAGACTACATCAAACTAAAAAGCTTCTGCAGAGGCAAGGAAACAATCAACAGAATGAAGAGACAACCTACAGAGTGGTTGAAAATTGTACATCTGACAAGGGGTTAATATGCAGAATTTATAAGCAACTCAACTCTTTAGCAAATAAAACCAAATAATCTGATTACACAATGAGCAAAAAGACTCATATATACTTCTCCAAAGAAAACATACAAAGGGCCAATGGGTATGTGAATAAATGCTCAGCATCACTAATCATCAGAAAAATGCCAATCAATACTACAATGAGATATCACCTTACACCAGTTACAATGGCTATTATCAAAAAGACAAAAAAATAACAAATTCTGGCAAGGATGTGGAGAAAAGGGGACTCTTTTACACTGTTGGTGGGAATGTAAATTAGTACAGCCATCATGAAAAACAGTATGGGCTTTTGTCAAAAAATTAAAAATAGATCTGCTATATTATCCAGCAATCCCACTGCTGTATATATAGCTAAAGGAAATGAAATCAGTACACTGAAGAGAAATCTACACTCCCATGTTTGCTGAAGCACTATTCACAATATCCAAGGTGTGGAGTCAACATAAATGCACATCAGTGGATAAATGGATAAAGAAAATGTGGTATGTATACACACAGTGGAATACCAGTCAGCCATGAAAAGGGATGAAATTCTGTCATTCACAACAACTTGGATGAGCCTAGAGGACATTATGTTAAGTGAAGCAAGTCATTCCAGTATCTTAAACCATGATTGAAAACTTAGATTTCATTCATTAATATCTCCCGTCTTCTCCCCTTTCTCCAAAGGGAATCAATAAAAACATCCCTTATAGTTTCCTTCCGAAGATGTCATTCCCAAGAGATCCTTTCTCAGTCTCTGGGTGTGTATCAGCACTACTGGGTAGCAGTCCTGGGCACATGCTTGAGAAAGATAGTACTACTACCCCTCTTTGGTTTATTGTGGCTGCCTTTAAGCTCCACCATAGGGAATTACCAACGCTAAGATATATCCACTCCCCTCCCAGGATTTGGTATTCTTGAACTACTAGGGCTGTTCAGTTTCTTTTCAGCATGTTTTTTCCTCAAGGAGGAGTCCTTGGCCCCCTGAAGGCTCAGTGAAAATTACTGACATGAGGCAGATTGATTAATAAGAGAAACGGCATACAAATTTATTTAACATGTATACACAGAAGCCTTCAGAATGAAGACCCAACCCCCCATAACAGGGTACAGAAGCTTATATGTCATCTGGAGGTTACAGAAAGAATGAGAGCTGAGGGCTCAGTGCATGGCCAAAAGCAGGTTATGGTGGCAAATCAGGTTTTAGTGGCAAGACAGGTTATGAGAGGGAGAAGGGAAGAGGCTTGGCTAGCAAAGGTGGTCGTGCTATGTAGATGAAACCTCACAGATAGCAGCCCTCAGAACGAATAGATGGCAAATGTTTCTTTCAGACCTTTAATGGTATAAGACTCTCAGTTAATCTTCCCTAGATTCGAACAAGGGAAGGCTTGGCTCCATTAATGCAGATTCTCTACAGACGCAAGTTTCCCCACAAAAGACAGCTTTGTAGGGCCAGTTCTGATTGATGGCTCTCTGGTAGCCATCTCAAAATATGTCAAGGAAATACATTTTGGGGTAAAATATTTTGATTACTTTCAGCAGGAACCACGTCCTTAATGTACATCTCCAGTGGGCCAGTGTCTCCTTTTTCTTCTCTCTGTCATATTCCTACACTTTTTATTCTATGGAGTCTGATTTTGATTCTCTTCTCCTTCGGACTGTTTTACTGAGCTTGGAATGCAACCATTTTTCTAGAAGGTCTGGATGTGCCTTTTAGGGGAGGGGCTGCTTCTACCTATTGTGTATTTTTAGTCCAATAGAACTTCTTCACCTTTGCTTTCTTTCTTCTTTTCCTTCATCCCCCTATATACCATGGGATGAAGTCTTGACCCTCTTCACCTTTAAAGTTAGGATCTTGCACTTTTTGATTTTTCTCTTATAATCCTATTTTATTGAGATTATTTATATTCAGATACTCTCTAAGAGGCCAATTTTTTTTTTGAAGCTTCTTTATATTTTCAAGCATGTATGTTAGCTAGACAGCATTCAACATACTCGTAGTTTATATTTGACTCTGACAGGAAGACAAAGTTAGATTTTTCTCTGCTTGTCATTGAACCACTAAGCATTTGCATTTAGATAAGTCCCAGTGCCATTAGGTCTTATGCATTTTGGTGGTATTGAGATAGCAAGATATATATTTTCCTATATTGCCTTGTGTTTCAGGAAAATCCTGGGACGGTAGAGAAAAACCATCCTCCAAACTGAGATGGCGCCAAGAGACCAAAGAAATGACCCAGACCAATCCATTTTGATGCAATAGATGAGTTTATTAGAAGTTACTTACACGGGGCTCTCATTCCTAGTCAAGATAGGAATATTCCAGGCATTCACTCCTGGGCAGCAGCAGGAGTTCTTCAGAGAGTAAGATCCCCACTTCCTGCCTGCTTGTGGAGCCTTAAATTTCTTTCTGGCAAGGGATGCAGAGCTCTCTCTCTCTCTCTCTCTCTCTCTGCATCATTGTTTATTTATGTACAGTACAGGTTAGAATGCACAGTACTTCCCATTAGGCAGGAACTTTAGTATTACAATGAACTAAAGTGTACTAAGGCAACTAAGGCACTTAAAACAGCTCAAACTTGTCTTAAGACTTATGACCGTCTATGCAAAAGGAGCTACTTAAGAATACCCTTTGTGTTTTGTATTTCTTTTGGCTGTTTTGTTTTGATCTATATCTTTAAGTTCAAAGGAAAGCTGCATGAGTTCTGTTAAACGTTAAAAGCCAATGGTGGGGAACTTGTATTCTTCCCTCACCTTGTTTCCTTTTATTGTCTATTGGAGTCAAGAGCATAGCCTTAGAGGTCAGATAGACCTCTTGATACCGGACAAATTATTAAAACTCTCTAAGCCTCGGTTTCCTTGTCAGTAAAATGGGGATAACAGTTCCTAAGGCATAGAATTGTTATGAAGATTAAATAAGAATTTCATTAATCTTGAATTAATTAATGCGAGTTGCACGTTTACTGGGTAGAATGCTCAGTAAATGCTAGCTCTATTTATTGCTATGATTACTTTTGTTAGATTGTAAGCTTCTAAAATTGTGAACCATACATATCTCAAACTTTATTAAGCAATTAGTATTTAACACAAGTTTATTGTTATTCATTGTAGGGACCAAGGCCCTTGGTCCCCTAAAGGTTCACTGAAAAAATCACTGACACTGAAGCAGATTGATTAATAGGAGAAAAGGCATACAAATTTATTTAATGTGTATACGTGGGAGCCTTCAGAATGAAGACCCAAAGATACAGGGGAAATCGACCATTTTTATGCTTAGGTTCAACAGAGTGTGGACAACCATATAGAAATATGATTGGACAAAAAGGATATGATCTAATGTTAGTAGACTGAGTGGGGAAACCCAGCAAGGCCTGTATAGATTCTTCATGTCCTCTCTGAGCATGTGTTCCTTCCTTCTGGATGTGGGGCTGGACCCTCACTAGAATGGGGGTCTTATGACCTATAATCAAACAAAGGAGGTCAGATAATTCCTTTATGGCCACCTTTTATACAGAATAATTTTAAGTTTTATGGCTGACTTTCGGGAAAAGGGGCTTTGGCTTTTATGACCCACCTTGGGGAAAAGGGACTCTTGTTTCTATGGCTAGCCTCATGGAAGAATGACATTGAGAGGCAGGAGGACAGGAAAAGGTGAGAGAAAATTTTTGTTTCTGAGGCCTTCATTTTGGGGTATTGTTTTCTGAGCCCCAATATCATTTATATAAAGTTATGTTTAACGATAAGAATGCCAGAAAAAGAAACATACTGAAATTAAAATTATCAGATTTGATTCTAGTTTCATGTGACATTTTATTTCCTTCAAATTTATGAGTTGCACTGAATGCATTTTTCCCCTTTTCTGACTTAAAATTTTTCTTTAAAAACATTACTAATTTCTGAAACTTTTATTTATTTTTTGCTGGGGGGGTGGGATTTAAATTCAAATTCCACCACTACATTTAAGTGTCGACTCTGTGCCAGGCTTTGTGCTGGGTGCTTGAACATACCTAGCTATTATCTCCCTTTCATAGATTAAAAAAACCAAGGCTCAGAGAATCCAAGTGAATGGCCCAAGATCATACAGTTAGTAACTAGCAGCTGCAAGAATGACAAACAAGCCTTAACTGTAAACCAGTGAGAGAGAACTTCAGGCACAATATGACCAAATAGTATGGAAGTATAGAGAGAGCTGGATTTTTCTTCAAAAAAGGGTCAGGAGTAGAGCAGGGAAATATTGAGAAGAAGATTTAATCTATGAAATTTAATCTATGAGCTGGCCAGTCAATCCATAAACAATTAAAGTTGACTAATCTGGAAAAAATATTTTTCACTTCATTTCCTCTGTTCTCATATTAGTTCTCATATATAGTGGTTCCGTTCTCATATATAATGGTTTATGGTATATAAATGCAAAATAGATAAATTACTACTAACTAGAAGATAAAATGGTAAACATGGGAGAAAAGTATTTTATTTTATGATAAGTAGATTATTATGAGTATATTAACAGGCTTTCAATATATAAAGAATGGCTCCCATGGAAGAAAACCAATTATCAAAGTTTTCAATGGTAGCACAGGTGTCCTTTCACCAAATTTAGTTACACTTTTCATAGCGTAAAACTAATCCTTGAAATGCTTGGTAAATATGCTGATTCTGGGTACAAATGAATCCTCCACTTCTGAAGGCTTGGGATGCGCTCCGATTTATGTCTCCAATACACGTCCAGTGATTTTTGGTGCCCTTTTGGGAAATACACCACTTGGCATGATCCTGAGAAGAACTGAAATAAGATTGTTGAGACAACTTAATTGCTTTGATATTGTAGACATGGTAAGGGAGGGAGCAGTTTGAAGGAAGCTCTTGTCCTGTTCGTTGCCAGGTTTCTGTTAGCAAGTGTGTCCTCAGCTGTGGAGCCATCCAGGCTGCAAAGATGTCTAGGGTTTAGAAGGAGAAAGATAGGGAGGTTGGTGTTCACATGTAGATAAGTCACTGAAAATATCCTCAGGAGTGGAAATCATCATTCACCCCTGATATGCGGATGTCATTAGTACAATAATAACAACATAATTGAGATAGTAGCTGAGAAAATTTTTTTGTAAATGCTAAAGTGATATGCAAACAAAAGTTATCGTCATTACTATGGTGATGTTGGTGTCTGCACACATCTTCTGTGCCACACAAACAAGAGAGCGATATATGTTTTTGTCCTGAAAAGACCGTTGGAAAGAATAAGGCTAGAGACGTAATTAGGGGCCAGTTTCTAGAAATCTTTGTAAGCCATGCTAAAATGTTTGGATTTTCCTGAAATCAATAGGGAATTTGTAAAGGAATGGTAGTGGACAATTAATAGAAATTGGTTTTTGATCACAAATATCAGTTGAGAGGCAATGTGCAGGATGAATTGGGAAGCATGAGTTAGAAAGTAGATAGGAAACACATCAGGTTGTCACAGTAACTGTGACAATAAGCAAAGGTATGTGAAGTGGCAGAGAGTTGGGAGATGGTAAGATACATGTGAGTGTTATTAAGGATCTGGAACTGACTGAATCTGATGGTTTGATAGAGGAGTGAGAAAAAGAAGGGATCTAGAACACCTGAGTGACTGTGCAGAGCACAAGAAAAAGAGTAGGTTTGTGGGGGATGATGACGAGCTGAGCTTGGTGTGTTGAATTTGGTGTGGCTGTACCGCTTCCAAGCAGGAATGTCCCACGCACGGCTGAATACATCTGTCTGGGGTAGAGGTCCAGACTTGGCAGTCACCCGAGGACTGACTGCAATTGCCCAGCATGGGTATGTAGACTGAGAGGAGCGAGGGCAGAGGACCACATGGCTGCCCAGTCACCTAAGGAGTTGTCAGAGGAGGAGGACCTGGCAGAAGAGACTTAAAAGAAGTGGGAGGAAGACGAAGAGACTGCATACTCCCAAAATCAGTGAAGGGGAATGTTCCAGAAAGGAAAGGGTTTCAACAATGCCAAGTTCTGCAGAGACTATTTCTATCTGTGAAGTTTTGGATCTCTAGTGCCTAACACAGGGCTTGGCTAGTGGTAGCATTCAGTAAATTTTATTCCATGTGTAAGAAAGGAAGGAAGCAAGTAAGTAAGGAAGACAGCGAGGTGATCTAAAACAGCTATCGGTGACTGGGGAGAGTTTAGAGTGTCTGCAGACAGAAGGAAGCCTGCAGTGAAGGAGCGCTGAGCAAGTGAGGTCCCTGAGAGTTTTTTAAACAGAAATCTGGAAGAAGAGGAACAAATAGAGATATAGAGGATTTAGAATTGAGGGGGGCGGTGTTGAGGCATGTTTGTATGCTATGAGGAAGGAGCCTGGAGAGTGGGAGAGTTGAAACAGAAGAGGGAGAACAGATCAAATGGATACATCAAAGTATTCGGAGGCTGGGATGGGTTCCAGAGCACAGGGGTGCATCACTTCTTTGGGGATGGGAAGAAACCTGGTAAAAAGGAAGGAAAACAGGCAAGATTGTTGGAGGGGTGGGGGAGTGATATCGAAGCAGTTTCTCCCTAGTGATCTTTCTTCTCTTTATGAAGGAGTAAGTGAAGCTGTGAGTGAGGGGGTAGGGTAGTGTAAAGGACCTGAGAGTAAGGAAGGCTTAACATAGCTGCTTAGGGAATGGGAGAAGAGGAAAGGGCTGTGGCCCCATGCCAAGCAGAGGCTGGGGACTGAGTTATCACTGGCTCCTGGCTGAACAGTTGTGAGAAACTTTTCTGGATGGATCAGTAACCATGCTATTCAAGAGGAGCAGGCAGATGTTTGAATTGGTCCTTGACTTCCCTTTTCCCTTTCTTTCCCCTTCCTCCCTTCTTTTCTATTTCTCTTCCTCTGAATAATCAGACTATTTCCTCTAAGCAATCCACAGTGAATCCAACAGCAGAGTTATATAGCATATTGTTTGATAACAAGTTTTCATACCATCAAGAAAAGAATTAGACTTTGCAAAATGGAGGAAATTTTCTCCCTGGGCTGACTGAAGTTTGGTGAGGTGCCTGCCAGGGATCTCTGATGAGCTGGACCCGGTGCACAACTGGGACATGTGAACGAGCTTCTGGTGAAAGGTGGCTGGGATGGAACAGCTATAGATGTTTGGGTTGCAGACCAAGAGCTGAGAATCTGAATCAAGAAACAATTTAAAAAAAGAAGAATTAAGACCAAATGGAAATGCCTATTTACGTTATAGATCTTGTTGTGGATTAAAAAACAAAATGAGGCCAGGCGCAGTGGCTCATGCCTGTAATCCCAGCACTTTGAGAGGCCAAGGCAGGAAGATTGCTTGAGGCTAGGAGTTTGAGATCGGCCTAGGCAACATAGCAAGACCCTGTCTCTACAAAAAATAAAAAATTAGCCGGGCACAGTGGCATGCACTTATAGTCCCAGCTACTTGGGAGGCTGAGGCAGGAGGATTGCTTGAGCCCAGGAGTTCGAGGTTGCAGTGAGCTGTGATTGCACCACTTCACTTTAGCCTGAGAGACAGAGTGAGACCCTGTCTCAAAAAAAACAGAGCAAACCAAAAAAATGAAACAAAAACAAAAGCATTCCCTTCTTTAAACCAATAGCCTTCAAATGACTTTTGGTTAAAATAACTGACATCTGTTGAGCACTTCCTACTTTCTAGAGACTGTTCTGTAAGTTTTATGTGGGTTTACTCTTTTAATCCTCATAGCAAGCTTATTATTAGGAAAGTTCTGTTGTTGTCACTATTCTCATCTTACAGATGAATTAACTGAGAATTTATGTTACATGCTCAAGGTTATAAAGCTTGTAACTGAGGGAGGTGGCATTCAAACCCAGGCAATCTGGCCTTGGAGACCATGTTTTTTTTCTCCTAAATGTACACATACAAAAATGGAGAACTCCATGCACCGATCATCCAGCTTCCAGAATAATCAGCCCAATCTCTTTTATATTCTGGTCTCTAATCATTACGTGAACTCAGCTGGTAACTAGAGCTTGACTTGTGCAAGAAGCTCAGTGATCCTTGCCATAAGATGAAAATTTGATGAGAAACATTTTCTAAACCTCCTGTATCTAGAGAAAAGTCACTCTTCACTGCTGTTTAGCAACCAACTTTCTCAGTAAAAAGTGATTGGTAGAGCGGTGTTCCTACTTTTCCTCCCCCACTATGGTTTTCCAAATCTAAGTATTTTTTGGCTATTTGAGCTTGAGATCTTAAAGATTATCTGGCTCAGAGGTGTCATGCTGGCAGCTTATAGGCAACATGTGGTCTGCAAATTTGAAAAAAACTCAGATTGAGCCTATATTTAAAAATCAGGAGTTCTCTCTCTTTCTCACTCACACACACACACACACACACACACACAAACACACACACACACACACACACACACACACACACATGACATACCCCCTAGGTTTCTGTTTCCTCATGAAAAGTATGGAGATCTGTAATCATAAGGTCTATATTCCAGTAGAGCTGCAAAACCATGGAGCTGAGGCCTTTGAGGGGAGCTAGGGGAGAGTCAACACCCCACTTTGTCACTATCCCCACTTCCCATGTAACATCTGTCTGTTTCACTCATTTTTTTTATCTGCCTGGCCCCTGAATATGTTCAAAATTACTGCCCCAATCAAGTTTAACAACTTCGTTGGTAGACTAAGAACCAAAGCCTAGTAAGTGAGCCTGCCCAAGGTCTTACCAGGCAAAGCTAATATTAGTAGCATCCAGCTATCAGAAGGTCTATGAATAGATTAAAAAATGGAGCGACACATTCATTAATACATTGCCAAATCCCTTCTTCAACATTGCTATCTCTCTTTTTTTTTTTTTTACATACTCTAATTTTACCTATTGCTTCATACTGGTTGTACTTGAAAGTTATGCAGATGCCACTTTGTCCGTTTCGTCTCCCCGTGGGTGGATAATCATAGCCTTCTTCAGGGATTGGAGGAAACAGGGGAATAGAATGAATCAGCCAGAACCCCTGGACTCTGTTCCACAGCATCACACCTACCAAAGATACATTTAATACAGACAAATCAGGGAAACAAAGCTCCTTTTAAAATAGGGTTCAAAGCTGCAACATTTAAGCCCATTTGTGCTTTAGGCTAATGTTTTATTAGGGCTAACAATCACAAGGATCATGCTCATTTTTCAAAGATTGCAAAAACAATTCTGGCACATATCACATTGCCCCAGAACTGGTAACAAGGCACCACACAAAGGGAGCCAAGGCAGCCATCCTGTGAAGAGTTAAGAGGAATCTCATGTTGAAACCGTAAGGAAAATTTGTTTCGGCAGAATGCAAATTTGCTAAATTGGAATTTGACCTTGTTACAGTCACTTGGCAAGATTTAGATAGTATCTTCACTGCTGAGCAGCTAAGCTATTTTCAAAAGCTGGCTAAAAAACAAGAGTTGAAAGAGAAAATATCAAATGAAGAAATGTACTTGCAGTAATTTGTTGTAAGAAACTGATGGTCGTTTATTGGTGGAAAAGTCACCCAATTCTACAAGTCCAATAAAAGAGGCAAAGAGAAAAAAACGAAGCCTTGCTAAAGCATCTTAGTTAACTATGTTTAGTAAAAATCTCTAGAGCAAAATAACATGAATGCCAGAAAGGAAGAAGATAGAAATATTTTATTATCTTGTTACATGCCAAAAAGAATCCTGTTAAACAGGTTCCTATGACTATTTCTGTGTTTGTAAATATTAATATATCAGGTAGGTTTGGTATGGTAGCAAGACTTTCCAGTTTGCATTTGACCATGCATGCATGACATTCATTTATGTTTGCCTTATTGTTGGAGTGGAAACCAAACCTGCTACTTACTTCTTTTTCAAAGAGCACACCTTAAGAAAATGTTCTGTTGCTCTTTTGGTGGAAAAGTAATCAATACCTGTGTCATGCTGGAAAATATTGAAAGTTCTGTTGCCTAATAGAGCAGGATGACCTTTAAGAGGTCTCCTCTGCCCAGATGAGCGTGCTGTTTTGCTGGAATCCTAACCTCCTGGCACAAATGCCATAGGATGCTAGGGCATCTGTTGGCAAAGGGAGCCCCCCCTTGACATTGGGCCCCACTCCCTTTATAGCCTTTTCTTTAAACCTCTGCAGCAACTAACAGAGTAGAGCAGGCATAGTGGTGGGAGATTGTTGGAAGATGTGGCATGTTATAAAAATTGTTGGGTTCTCTGTAAATAGGGCCAACAGGGGGGCAACTTGGCTAAATAAAAAGCTTTTAGTGCTCATAACCTTTGACAGACATTACAAATTATATTCTTAATCATAGGCTGCAAAGGCAGCCAATGGGGCAAATCTAGCCTGTAGATCCATTTCATTAGCTTGCAGAATTTTTTTTTTTTTTAAACTTTGGACTAGTTGCCAACATTTAAAGACTGAGGAGATTTTCCACAAATACTAATTTTCAAATCTCTTGAAAATTGCATCCCTGTCAGGCAAGCTGAATAGAAACTGTCCCTTACAAACCAAGTTCTAGTTGAGACCACTTGGCTTGCTGCCATCACTTGCCTGCTCCCTGAAGCCATTTGAGTTTGGAATCTTTTGAAGAATATTTGTTGCCATGGAAAGTTATTCATAATATATTAAATTGAAAAAAGGTTAAAAAATAGTCATTATAATACTTTTACAGAGATGTTTTTAAATATATATTAATATTGTAGAAAAGTAAAAAGGATTAAATGTATTTATCTAATGGGCACTGGGATTACAGATTTTATGTTTACTTGCATTTTGAATTTTTCTATAATGCATAAACATATGTGCATAGTTTACAAATAGAAAAATTACAAAAGTTAGCACAATAAAAATTACTACATATGATAACAATGTATAATAGCAATATATAACAAAATGTATAATAATAAAATTACTATAATATAAAAAATGATTTAAAAATGCTTTTTCATTTCTAAGGGAACTCTACATTAAGGAGAGTTAATTTTACTGTATGTAAAGATTGAGCCTATATTTAAAAATCAGGAGTTCTCTCTCTTTCTCACTCACACACACACACACACACACACACACACACACACATGACATACCCCCTAGGTTTCTGTTTCCTCATGAAAAGTATGGAAATCTGTAATCATAAGCAATAGTCAGTACTTGGATTTATGCTGTAAAGTATATATTTAGAAATATATTAAGAAATAAAATAGGATTTCTGAAAGTGGAATTGTCGAGTCAAATTATATAATCAATTATATTATAATTTGTGATATCGAAATACATTTCAACAAATCAAAATAAACCATTAAGAAGAAAAGCTATCTTTTTAACATGGAATATAAGAATGTTCAAGATGAAATGTTTAAGAAAATGTTGATTTCCAATGGGAAAGAGAAACAAAGAGCCTTTGCCATACCTTTGGCGTGTCCATACTTCATGCTGTAAGTCACAGATTTAGGGACTCCATCATTGTATAATAGGTAGGCTGTGTTGTTACTCTGCCGGAATATATTAGGGTTATAATGGTGTAAATCTTCCACTCACAAATGCTCACAACATTCTACCAGCTACCTAGCCTGCAATACAGAGCTTTCATTAATACACATGAGAAGTCATCCATTCCCCTAATAGGCATCTTCCCCATCAGTATGAATTCTGTGACATGCAAGACAGGTAAAAAAAGAAGTCCATTCTCAACCATGCACGATTTCGACTCATGTAAAAGGAGCCCTACGCATTGTGATGTGTGTGTGAGGGCAATATTCCTATTTCTCTTGGTTATTTTGGAGCCAGGTTTCTGATTAAGCAACTGGTGCACAATAAAGAAGTACTGAATTATTTGTTCAGGAAATGAAGTAGGAACAACCAGCCAAGGATTACACCTGGGTTTTTTTCCACTGATGTTATAGGCACAGCGGTGCAGAATTGGCTGTCAGGATCCGATTTCCTCTGCCTACTTCGTGCTTCACTTCACTGCTTGGTCACAGCTTTGTGCTTAATCAGGAGTCCTCATTATCCGCGCCCCTTTCCTCCTCAATATGTGAGGATTTTTCTGCAATCCATTTCTCAGCATCACCTCACCTTTCTAACTTGATATTTCCCTGCTTAGAAAAAGTGTTGAAATTTCATGCGTGATATTGGATTTCCTCTGGTAAGGAAGAATGTGAGTCAATTGTCTAAACAGCCGAATCTCTGAATCAAAGCTATTATTTTGATAGTGGGTCTGTTTGTCATGTTTTGGAAACTTGCTAATATTTGTTCTGGGTGGTTCCATTTCATTTGTGTCATAATGCAACGGCTTTTATTGGAGTCAATAATAATGTTCATATTTAAAAAAAACCTCAGTGACATAATTAAAAGCAGGAAAGGACAACCTATATCCTTTTAAAAGGCCCTTGCTTTTCTCTCAGGAAAAAAGTCAATAACGGAGTCTCTCACAGGTGCTTAATTATTTGATGTAATTAAAAACATTTAAAAAATGCACAACATATTCTGTGTAGCATTCTTGGCTGCTGTGTTTAGGGATATCCAGAAAAGTAAGCTTTTTCTTACCCTCGTTTTCCATAATTGACCATAGCTGCAGAATGGCATTCGCATTGTCCTTCTCTGGAGAACTCTACCAGTTAGTTACCCTACGAGCTGACACTGAATTTGGAAATGACGCCATTTGTGTGCCTTTGGGCTACAACATGGAGGGACTCCAGGAAGATCCAGTGAGGAACTTTACAATAGATAAAGTTTATTATTCTAATCAGGAGTGTAATAGCCAGTAAGGTTAAATGGGTTGTAGGCTTAGTGGGAAGAGAGGCTATTGATAAAGGGAAAAGATCATTGGGACTTAAGAATAGGTAGACATAGGAGTGTGACTTTGGACAGTTTTATTCCTTTAACACATTCTTTGGGTATTGTTTTAACTATTGGATATTGAAAAAGTGGGATACAGTCTCTGCCTTCAGTCTAGCAGGAAATATAGACAGGTAAGTACAGGCCACTGCAATATAGTCTGGTGTTTATGATGTTGTATGGAAAGTTCTTATTTGCAGAGGCAAAAGAAGGGAAAAAATGCCAAATGTACTCAGCTATTGTCCTTGGTCACCTTGACATTTGAGATTTAAAACCAGTTGGTTTGATCTTACATTCCACTCTCTGTTAGAAGTTCAAGTCCAGGTCAGGGGGTAGGGAAGTTATGTTCTTAGAGTCACTTCTGGCACATAATTCCAGCTTCTAAAGAACACTCAATCTCACCTAGATATGACCCACTACTGTTGCTCTCCTCTTTTTGCTCTGTGCCAATCAGATAGGGAAATCAGCCCCCCACCCTTTTTTGGTCATTTTTTTTCCCCAGAACCAATCACTCAAGACCTTGTGTATGAGCAGATTTTACTGAAGGTAAGAAATTTTGAATGGTTTTACATCACCACAAGGCCGTACCCCAACCTCCATCCATATTTATTACACTTTTTAATTCCTGGCTCCCTTCCACCCCATTTTTGTTTTGTAGAGCAATTTAGCTCTCTCTCCTTCCTAGGGTCTGGGGCTACCTTTGAACCTCCACTGATCACTATTGTATTCTGCCAAACTAAGAGCCACCCACTCCAACTAAGGTAAACAATGGAGTAAAGTGTTACTCTTTCCTTTTTCCTCTTTCAGCAATCTCTGTGATGGAGATGGTAACGATATAGGCATTTATTTTCTCACTAATAGGTTATACTCCTGGTCCCCAGCCTCAGCCTTGGAAAGCAGAAGCAGCTGCAGGCAGTTTTCGGTTTACATAATACAGTTGGCTTTTGAACAACACAGGTTTGAACTGCATGGGTCCACTCATATGCAATTTTTTTTCCAATAAATATATTGGGAAATTTAGGAGGGGGGATTTTGAACAATTTGAAAAAAACTTGCAGACCAACTCCATAGCCTAGAAATATTGAAAAAATTAAGAAAAAGTTAGGTATGTCATGAATGCATAAAATATATGTAGATACTAGTATTTTTTATAATTTACTACTATAAAATAGACACGAATCAATTATAAAACGTTAAAATTTATCAAAACATATGTACACATTTATAGACTGTACATGGTGCCATTCACCATAGGCAGTGGAAGGAAATGTAAACAAATGTAAAGATGCAGTATTAAATCATAACTGCATAAAATTAATTGTAGCACATACTATACTACTATAACAATTTTGTAGCTACTTTCTGTTGCTATTGAAGTGAGCTCAAGTGTTGCAAATATCCCCTTAAAATGCCATGTGACACTAATCATCTTCACATGAGCAGTTCATTTCTCCAGTAAATTACACATTATAGTAAAAAGTGATCTCTCATGGTTCTTGAGTGTTTTTCATCATGTTTAGTGTGATACCATAAACCTTGAATAACAAAGAAGAAGTGCCACTAATGATGCTGGAAATGTTCCCAATAATCAGAGAAAAGTTATGACTTTACAATAAAAGTTGAATTGCTTGATATGTACCATAGGTTGAGGTCTACAGCTGCAGTTGCCCACTGTTTCTAGATAAATGAATCAGTGTAAGGACCATTGTAAAAAAAAGAAAAGGATATTTGTGAAGCTGTTGCTGCAGCTATGCCAGCAGACACGAAAACCTTATACTTTTTGTGAAATACCTTTTTATCTCATATTGAAAATGCAACTTTTATGTGGGTGCAGGATTGTTATAAGAAAGGCATATCTACAGACTCTAATAGGATTCAAGAAAAAGTGAAGTCATTATATGATCACTTAAAGCAAAAGGAATGTGAAGGATCTAAAGCTGGAGAATTTAATGCCAGCAAAGGATGGTTTAATAACTTTAGAAAGTGGTTTGGCTTAAAAATTGTCAAGATAACAGGAGAAGCATTTCTGCCAACCAAGAGGCAGCAGAAGAGTTCCCAGACACCATTAAGAAAATCACTGAGAATATCTGCCTGAACAGGTTTTTAATGTAGATGAGAGTGCTCTATTCTGGAAAAAAAAGTGCCACAAAGTAAGGAAGAAAAGTGAGCATTAGGATTTAAAGTAGTGAGGAATAGGCTAACTCTATTGTTTTGTGCAGATGTAGTTGGTTTATTATCAGGACTTCCCTTATCTATAAAGCTGCTAACCCCCTAGCCTTGAAGGGAAAAGATAAATACCAGCTGCCAGTCTTTTGGGTGTACAAAAAGAAGGCTTGGACAACAAGAACTCTTTTTCTGGATTGGTTCCATTAGTGTTTTGTCCTTGAAGCCAGGAGGTACCTTGCCAGTAAGGAACTGCCTTTTAAAGTTATTTTGATATTGGACAATGCCCCTGGCCACCTAGCACCCCATTTCAACTCCAAAGACATTAAAGTTATCTACTCATCCCCAAACATAATGTCTCTAATTAAGCCTCTAGATCAGGAGGTCATAAGGACCTTTAAGGCTCATTACACATGGTACTCTACAGAAAGGATTGTCAACACTATGGAAGAAAATCTCGATAGAACATCATGAAAGTCGCTAAGGATTACACCACTGAAGATGCCATCATTGTTACAGGAAAAGCCATGAAAGCTCTCAAGCCTGAAACAATACATTCCTCTTGGAGAAAACTGTGTCCAGATGTTGTGCACGACTTCACAGGATTTAGAATGGAACCAAGCAAAGAAATCATGAAAGAGATTGTGGATATGGCCAAAAAAGGTTAGGTGGTGGTGGTGAAAGGTTTCAAGATATGGATCTTGGAGAAATTCAAGAGCTAATAGACACCACACCAGAGGAATTAATAGAAGATGACTTAATTGAGATAAGTGTTTCTGAACCAGTGCTAGACAATGAGGAAGAAGTTGTAGAAGAAACAATGTCAGAAAACAAATTGATATTAGGCAATCTGCCAGAAGGGTTCTGATTATTCAAGACTGTTTTTAACTTGTTTTATGACATGGATCCTTCTATAATACAGGCACTGAAACTAAAGCATATGGTGAAAGAAAGATTGGTATGATATAGAAACATTTTTAGAGAAATGAAAAAGCAAAAAGTCAGCTGACGATATGATCTTATATCTAGAAAACCCCGAAGACTCCACTGAGAGTCTATTGAAATTGATAAATAAATTCAGCAAAGTCTCAGGTTACAAAATCAATGTACACGGATCAATTGCATTAGTATACACCAACAATAGTCAAGCTGAGAGTCACATCAAAGACTCAATACCATTCACAATAGCTACCAAGCAAATAAAATACCTAGGAATATACTTAACCAAGGAGGCAAAAGATCTCTACAAAGAGAACTATGAACTATTGAGGAAAGAAATTGCAGACAACACAAACAAATGGAAAAACATATCATGCTCACGGATAGGTAGAAGCAATAGTGTTAAAATGTCCGTACTACCCAAAGTGATTTACAGATTCAATGCAATGCCTACAAAATACTGTCATATTTTACAGTTCCAGAAAAAAAAATAATTCTTTGCTTCTGTTGGAACCAGAAAAAAGCCCAAATAGCCAAAGCAATCTTAAGCAAAGAGAAAAAATCTGGAGGCATCACATTAGCAGACTTCAAACCATACTACAAGGCTATAGTAACCAAAACAGCATGGCATTGGTACAAACATAGAGACACAGACCAATGGAACAGAACAGAGAACGCAGATATACAACCATCCACAGGGCTGGGCGTGGTGGCTAACGCCTGTAATCCTAGCTCTCTGGGAGGCTGAGGCGGGCGGATTGTTTGAGCTCAGGAGTTCAAAACCAGCCTGGGCAAGAGCGAGACCCCGTCTCTACTAAAAACAGAAAGAAATTAATTGGACAACTAAAAATATATATAAAAAATTAGCCGGGCATGGTGGCGCATGCCTGTAGTCCCAGATACTCAGGAGGCTGAGGCAGAAGGATTGCTTGAGCCCAGGAGTTTGAGGTTGCTGTGAGCTAGGATGACGCCACGGCACTCTAGCCAGGGCAACATAGTGAGACTCTGTCTCAAAAAAAAAAAAAAAAACAAACCCATCCACATATAGCCAACTGATCTTTGACAAAGCAGGCACTGGGGAAAATAAGCCCTATTCAATAAGGAAAATTGGATAGCCATGTGCAGAAGATCAAAACCAGATACATATATTTCACCTCTCACAAAAATTAATTCAAGATGGATAAAAGTCTTAAATGTAGTCATGGAACCGTAAGAATTCTAAAAGAAAATGTTGGAAAAACTCTTCTAGATATTGGTCTAGGCAAAGAATTTATGAAGAAGATTCCAATGGCAATCATATCAAGAACAAAAATAAGTAAATGGACCTGATTAAATTAAAAAGTTTCTGCACAGCTAAGGAAATAATCAACAGAGCAAATAGACAACCTACAGAATGGGAGAAAATATTTGCAAGCTATACATTGATAAAGGGCTAATAACCAGAATCTACAAAGAACTCAAGCAAATCAGCGAGGAAAAAACAAACAACCCCATTAAAAAGTGGGCAAAAGACATGAACAGAAGCTTTTCAAAAGAAGATAGACTAATGGCCAATAAACGTATGAAAAAATGCTCAGTGTCACTAATTATCATGGAAATGCAAATGAAACCCACAATGAGATATCACCTTACCCAAGTTAGAATGGCTTTTATTAAAAAGTCCAAAAACAATAGATGCTAGCATGGATGCAGAGAGAAAGGAATGCTTATACACTGTTAGTGGCACTGCAAATTAGTACAACCTCTATGGAAAAACAGTATGGAGATTCCTCAGAGAACTAAAAGTAGGCCTACCATTTGATGCAGCAATCCCACTCCTGGGTAATTACCCAAAGGAAAATAAGTCATTTTACCAAAAAGACAACTGTACCTGAATGTTTATTGCAACATCATTCACAATTGCAAAGATGTGGAATCAACTCAAGTGTCCATCAATTCATGAGTGGGTTAACAAAGTGTGGTATATGTATGCTGTGGAATACTACTCAGCCATGAAGAAGGATGAATTAAGGCCTTTTGCAACAATTTAGATGAACCAGAGACCACATCCTAAGTGAAGTATCTAAATCATGGAAAAACAAACACCACATGTACTTGCTATTAAACTGAAACTAACCAATGAGCACACATGTGCACAGAGGGAAGTAAAACTCAGTGGAAATCAAGCAGGGGGGAGAGGGAAGGAGGGGATGGGCAAAAACCTACCTAATGAGCACTGCCTGGGTGACGGGCACACATATAACCCTGATTCAAGCATAACAAGATTGATACATGTAACCAAAAACATTTGTACCCCCATAATATTTTGAAATAAAAAATTAGGAAACATGTGGTGGTCAGGGTATAAAATGCTAATATGGACTATTGAGTAAAGCTGGGGATATGTAGGACTCTACCAAATTTCATAAAAACATGAAAATCTAAAATATGATAAATTTCCAAAGTAGAATATATATTCGTAACCCACTTTTAATAATTATAATTAAAGAATACCTTTCTTAAAAGAAAAAAAGCAAAAAGTCAGACAGAAATCACAAAGTATTTCCATAAAGTCACACCAATTGTTTCTGCCTCTCCTGACTCCCCTTCCACCTTCTCCACCTCTTCTGTCTCTGCCACCCCTGAGACAGCATGAACAACCTCTCCTCTTCCTCCTCTCCTCAGCCTATTTAATATGAAGATGACAAAGATGAAGACTTTTATGATGTTCCATTTCCACTCAATGAATAATAAATATATTTTCTCCTACCTGTGATTTGCTTAATAATATTTTCTTTTCTCTAGCTTACTTTATTATAAGAATACAGTATACAATACATATAATGCACAAAATATATGTCCATCAACTGTTTATGTTATCAGGAAGGCCTCCTGTCAGTAGTAGGCTATTAGTAGTTAAGTTTTTTGGGGAATCAAAAATTATAAGTGAATTTTCAGCTGCACAGGGCAAAGGGTCAGCACTCCTAACCCCCACATTGTTCAGGGGTCAACTGTAGTCTGTTTATTCAAAGCAGGGTTGTTCTTGAGATTAAGTAATTTTTAAAAGTGCCTAGAACAGTGCTTGGCACATCACATGTATTCAAACAGCCTACAAATAAGTTTTAACATTGTAATGTGGCTCCGAAGGCTGGTCTTAATGGCAGGTAAATAAAATGAATATTATCACTCACAGTGACAGCTCTCTGTACATTTTGAGTAAATACTCAAGTACACTTATGCAGTAGGGCTAGAGGCTAAAACAGTGTTGTCGTAGGTGTTACATTACTCGGCATATGTAAAGGCCCAGCACAGAGCCCTGCATATTACAGAAACTGAGTCATTTTATATACTTACTTTTCTATAAGTTATTGTTAGGAAATATATACATGAGTGTAATTGAATGTTAATTATTGCTTGATTTTACTTGTGACCCCTGGTTGGAAAACAGTATCTTGCCACTGAAGAACAGATGGTGCCTGGCACATCAGGAGGCTGCCCACATTAAGCCAGCAGGCCTATTTACCTACATCGTTTTGGCTGATTAGCTCATTCATTGCCTGATGAAGTCTAGAGAGAGGTTTAATCTCCATTCAGGCAAGTTACTTCTAAGGCCTTGAACTACAGACCTACTTCTCAACCTACCATTTTGAAAATAATTAAGTCAAAGGAAGAAGATCTTTACCTAGATCACTTCCACTCATTAACACCACGACATAAACAAACCCATAACTCCTAGCATATTGACCATGGATCTCTGTTGCCTTGTAGCAGCAGAGAAGACTCTTCTTCCTATTTCTACTAGATGAATAAGATAACAAGTACTGAGTGAGTTGGCAGAGCTTTTGGCAGCCAGAAGATTTCAATATACAATTAGTTCACACTTTGCCCAGTGATGATACCATTGGACATGGTGCCAAGCAAACCAACAATTTGGTATTGCTGTAGAGTATGATTATATATTTCCCAAAGTCATGGTCATATTGATTCAGATAGTTGTTCTGAGCTAATTCTGATCTAGCTTACTTCAAGATGCTAAGATTGGGGGTTGGGTGGGTGACTAGGAAAAGTCTTTTGAAAGCTTTGGATTCTGTTAATGCATTTTATATTATTCAAATTAATGATTGACTTTAACATACCTTGGAGGCATATGCTTCATATAGCTGGTGTAACGTCCTTCCCAAAACACTCCTGGTGGTATTCATTGGCTGCTTACTCCTCCTCCAGCTTCTAGTTGTAGAGTCTAGGTACAGGTACTCTAACCCACTCCCTTTACTTTCCTTGTCTTGTCTTTTAACTTGTATAGGTAATTTATAAAAGGTAAACCTAACAAAGGAAATAATTATGAATTATTAACATTTATTGATTGCTTTCCTAGTGGCAGTCACCGTTACATACTTTAATATATCTTTCACTTACGCATTGCAGGAGGCCTCTAAGGAAAGGGATTGGCTCAAGCTCTCTGCCTCTTTCTCTACCTTTCTTTTTGCTTCTTTCCAGAGAAGGAAATATAAAGCTGACTGGACATGTATGTTCTAAGACATTTATTGGCCTGCTGGGTGGGGTCCCTGAAGTGGATGTCCATGTACTTTGAGAGTGGCTCTCTCTGTTGTTGCCTCCACAGCCCATATGGCTGCAGTGGGTAGAAGGCCAAGGCCCAGATCTGGACTGGAGAAGTCTGGGGTTCTCTCATAAGTGATTGGCATGATCATCTCTTTGCAGCTGGTTGGCTGGGTATCAGATTTTGGTTTGGGCTTTAGGGTAGGTGGAGGCCCCCATGATCCTCTGGCCTAAGCCAATTAAGTAAGTAGGCCCTTTCTTTCCTTTACTATTGTTTTCTGTGTATATGTCTCCTTTGGGTATCTCACAGGGAGGAGAGATGCTTGGGCCCATCTAGCATTTAGGCATTCTTGGATTACCCAGCACAGGGTTTCCCAACGTGCTCTATTCACATTGTAAGCCAGATCATTCTTGGGTTGTGGGAGCTGTCCTGTGCACTATAGGATCCCTGGCCTCTACCTATTAGATGACAGTAATACTCGCAAGTTGTGACAATCAGAATTTTCTCCAGATATTGCAAAATTACCCTCAGTTGTGAACCACTGCTTTAGCCAAATGCTTTCTCATAGCATGAGTCCCACAATTAACCCTTAAACACTCACAGTACTTCAAACTTTATAATATACACACTATTACCATACAACAGTGTCTCTCATTGCCCATAAAACATTCCCACTTTTCACTTGGTTCTCTTCAGTCTTATACTTTCCTTTAAGTGAACTCTTTCCTGGCCCGGCTTATGCTTTCTTATGCACAGGGCCAGATCCTCATGTGTGGCAGGAAACATGAAATTATTCTTTGGTGTTGACTTGATGGCCTCTGACCTTTAACTCTCTCAGTAAATTGTAGCATCTTGGCAACGAGTTGTTTCTATTCTCTCTGACAGATATTGATAAGTGATATATCCATTCACTTGTGCCAAAAATAAATTTTATATATCCATCACAATTTAGTGGCCCACCAGTAAAGAGTTTGTGAACTACCAGTGTACCATGACATACCAGTTGACAACTTTTAAACATTTTTCCTGGATGACCATCTCAATTATATTCTAAAGATTCCTGAATCCATTTCTAGCCCAGACCACTATGCTGAGGTCCAGATAAACTTCAACACAAAGATATCCTAGAAACCTCCCACTCCATGTTTTTGAAACAAAGTTTATAATATTTTGCTCCAAATCTAATCATCCCATGCTATTAGGGAACATACCCATGCCATCACAGAAGCCAGAAACCTAAAAGTCTTTCCCAACTTCTCCCATTCTCCTACCCACTGCAGCCCGTCCATTACCAGATCTTCTCGGAGTGTTCCTCTCTGTTTCACCACAACTTCTTTAACTCAGGTCTACACGTCTTCTCTGCAATGCTGCAAACGTCCTCCTAGTCTCTGGGACTCCAGGCTCGCCCCCATCCATCCAGCCTTCTCAGTGCTGCCAGTGGGCTTCCTAAAATGCAAATCTGACCATATCATGCCCCTGCTTGAAGTCCTTCATTAGCTCCCTTTCCATGTCAAGTTCAAATCCTGTAGCTCAGCACATAAGACCTTTTTGACCTGGCTCTCACCTACCTCTCTACCCTTACCTCCTGCCATTTTCCAACATTCTCCTGAAACTCCAGCAATACCAAACTACTTATAACTTAAAACTTTCTGTGTGGCTTCTTGCCTCTGTACCCTCTCATCGCTCCTTCATTGGCTTGAGATGCCCTTTCATCTCTCTTTTTTTTCTAGCTACTACTTAATTGTTCTTTTTTAAAAAAATTTCAGAATATTATGGGGGTACAAACATTTTGGTTACATGAATTGCTTTTGTATAGTTTGAGTCAAAGTTATAAGTGTGTCCATCACTCATATAGTGTGCATTTTACCTGTTACGTATGAATTTACACATAGCCTCCTCCCCCCCACCTACTCGATTTCTGTTGAATTTTATTACCATATGTGCACATAAGTGTTGATCTATAAGTTTCAATTTAGTAGTGACTACATGTAGTTTTTCTTCTTCCATTCTTGTGATACTTCACTTAAAAGGATGGTCTCCATTTCCATCCAGGTTGTTACAAAAGGTATTAATTAGTTCACTATTTTTTATGGCTGAGTAGAACTCCATGGTATACATATACCACATTTTATTGAGCCACTCATGTGTTGATGAGCACTTGGGTTGTTTCCACATCTTTGCAATTGTGAATTGTGCTGCTATAAACATTTGAGTGTAAGTGTATTTTTTATAAAATGTCTTTTTTTCTTTTGGGTAAATACCCAGTAGTGGAATTGCTGGATCAAATAGTAGGTCTACTTTTAGTTCTCTGGGGTATCTCCATACTACTTTTCATAGAAGTTGTACTAGTTTGCAGTCCCACTAACAGTGTATAATAAGTGTTCCTTCCTCACTGCATCCACGCCAATATCTGTTGTTTTGGGACTCTTTGCTAAAAGCCATTCTCACTGAAGTTAGGTGATATCTCATTGTAGTTTTGATTTGCATTTTCCTGATGATTAGAGACACGGAACATTTTTCAAATGCTTATTGGCCATTAGTCTATCTTCTTTTGAAAAGCTTCTGTCCATGTCTTTTGCCCACTTTTTAATGGGGTTGTTTGATGTTTTCTTGCTGATTCACTTGAGTTCTTTGTAGATTCCAGTGATTAGCCCTTTATCAGATGTATAGCTTGCATATATTTTCTCCCATTCTGTAGGCTGTCTATTCACTCTAATGATAGTTTCCTTGGCTGTGTAGAAGCTTTTTAATTTAACTAGGTCCCATTTATTTGCTTTTGTTGTTGCTGTAATTGCCTTTGGGGTCTTCTGCATGAATTCTTTGCCTAGGCCATTATCTATAAGAGTTTTCTGACCTCTTCTTCTAGAATTCTTATAGTTTAATGCTTTAGGTTTAAGTCTGTTATCCATCATGGATTAATTTTTGTGAGTGATGAGAGGTGTGGATCCTGTTTCAGTCTTCTACATGTGGCTATCCAATTGTCCCAGCATCATTTATTGAATAGGAATTCTTTTCCTCAGTGTATGTTTTTGTCTGCTTTGTCAAAGATCAGATGGCAATATGATGATGGTTTTATATCTGGGTTCAGTGTTCTGATCCATTGGTCTAGGTCTCTGTTCTTATGCAAGTAACATGCTGCTTTGGTTACTATAGCCTTATAGCACAGCTTGAAGTCTGGTAAAGTGATGCCTCCCAATTTGTTCTTTTTGCTTAAGTTTGTTTTGGCTACTCGGGGTCTTTTCTGGTTCCATACAAAGTATAGAATTATTTTTTCTAGATCTGAAAAAATGACATTGGTACTTTAAAGGGATTGCATTGAATTTGTAAATCACTTTGGGTAGTACAAACATTTTAACAATGTTGATTCTGCCAATCCATAAGCATGATGTGTTTTTCTACCTGTTTATATCCTCTGCAATTTCCTTCCTCAGTGTTTTGTAGTTCTCCCTGTAGAAGTCTTTCACCTCCTTGGTTAGATATATTCCTAGGTATTTTATTTTCTTTGTTTCTATCATGAAAGGTCTTGCATCTTTGATTTGATTCTGAGCTTGACTGTTGTTGGTGTATAGGAATGCTTCTGATTTGTGTACATTGATTTTGCCAGACCAATATCCCTTATGAATGTAGAGGTAAAAATTCTCAATCAAATCAGCAAACCAAATTCAGTTGCACATCAAAAAAATAATCCAGCATGATCAAGTGGGCTTCATCCCAGAGATGCAAGGATGGTTCAACATATGCAAATCTATAAATGTGATTCACCACATAAATAGAAGCAGATACAGAAAAAGCATTTGACAAAATTTAACACCCTTTTATGATAAGAACTCTTAAGAAAATAGGCATAAGTGGAACATACATCAACATATCTAACAGACCCACAGACAATGTCATACTGAATGGGGAAAGACTGAAAACATTCCTGCTTAGAACTGGAACCAGACAAGGTTGCCCATTGTCACCACTTGTGTTCAACATAGTGCTAGAAGTCCTAGCCAGAGCAATCAGGCAAGAGAAGGAAATCCAGGGTATCCAAATGGGGAAAGAAGAGGTCAAACTATTGCTCTTTGCTGACGATATGATTTTATATCTAGAAAACCCCAAAGATTCTGCCAAGAGACTCCTGGAATTGATGAATAAATTCAGCAAAGTGTCAGGCTACAAAATCAATGTATACATAATTGTTCTTAAAACTTAGCTCAAAAACTGCTTTCTCAGAGAAGCCTTCTGGGCTCTATACTCCTCAATGTCCCACCTATGTCCTTAATACATAACTGTGAGCTCCCTGAGGGTAGAAACTATGTTTTGTTCATATTTATATTTTTACAACTCAGCACTGGTATGAGCTCCGTAACTGCTGAAAGACTGGCTGAGTGAGAATATGTGTTCTCTAGCCTGGGAGTTATACAAAGCCTGACACCAACCACACTGGCAGATGTAAACATCCTAATTAAAGAGTGAAAAAGTGATCAAAGCTTTAGGAGAATCCATGACTATAAAGCAACACTGTGTTTGGTGTCTTTGTACAAGAGGCCAGTGACCTACCAGTCACTCCAACAGCTGCTGTGGTGCCGAATAAACAGAGGTTAGCCAAACAGTGCTACATATGATAAGGTGCTCCTTCTCCTTCTTGTAAGGAGGAGTGCATACTCCAGTTTCAGAAAAAAAGTAATCTGCCTTCTCTCCTTGGTCAATCTCTAGAAGGACGTTGGAAGAGTTCTGTTAGAAAAGCTACAGTGTAATTAAAGGAAATTGCCGTCTGACAGAAGCTGTCAGCTCAATCCACTTCTGTGGCTACTGGCCTTGCCCTGCTGAGAGCAATGAATCAGGCCCAAGAGGGGGCCTGCTCAGCCCTTTCTAGGGGAGCATTCCCTCACTCAGAAGCCTACCACTGTCTGGGAATTCGGCCCATTTGCACACTTCAACTCCCTTTCTTGTTACAGGGAGGAAGCAGGGTGGAAGTTCCCCTTAGGAACTGCACAGTGAGCCCGTCTGCCTCCCATACTCTGACTTTCTATTTGCATCCACCAATCCTTACATTTCATTTACCTACCAATCCACAGCTTTCCCATCTTCATTTCTGCATGATATTTTTGTTGCTTCCAGCACCTCAAAATGGGCGAGGAAGAGCAAAGCAAGGGATGTTTTCAGAAGTCTCTCTGTCATTTTCTATCTGTCTCCTTTACTTCATGCCACAGCAGGAAACTTTCCCTATAGCCTGGGGAGTCTGAGTTTCAGGTCTCTCTCAGGCTGTGCTGGCTTTGACATTTGAGTCTTTTTACCTCTGCTGTTCACTGTTCAGGCCCTTTCAGAACGGGATGAATCCCATGTAATTGTGTGATCTGTCACAACATGCCAGCGTGACTCTGGATGTCTTTGTGCTGAACTGTTGACTGGTTTGCAAAGTCATCAGAAAGTTCTGGAGAGAAAAAAAAAGATATGTAGTTAACTCTTTGGAGTGAACATTGCGTGTGAAATTTAGTGGACAGGGGAAGTTGATGTTGATAAGTAGGTGTTAAAGTAAATATATTTCATGTTTTTTTCTCTCCTGATTGACTCTCTATGAGTGAGAGCAAATGCATGTGGTTCATACATTAAACAGAAATGACAAAACCTTATGTCTTAGTAATAATTAGTATCTGTCATTTATAATAATCTCTCTTTTAAGGAAATTGTTGTAAAGGGTATTTCAAAGTAAGAGCAAATTCAATTGTTTTTTTACCAAAGATATTTACATATCCTCTCCACCTCCCTGGTGTTAGCCACTCAATGTGGTGCTTTACTTTAAAGAGGCCTTGGTGTCCAATTGGCTGCTATGCAATCAGGTAAACATATTGATCGCCCACTCTTCGGGTTAAATAAAAAATATTTCAAACATCTGTTTTGCCCAAACTATTCTTTCTCATTCTTGAAACTGAATCTGAAGTTGAAGGCCAAGAGAAAATGGCCCATCACAATAACAAGTATAAAAAGGTGAGACCAATCTCTTTTTGAAGGAGGGAAGTAGATAGACATATGAAAAAAATTTCTTTAATGCATGATGATTTTGAATCAATAATTAAAGATGCTGTGAGAATAAATAGCAGTTTGTTTCATGCTGGAAATCATGATGGCTCTAATCTGTCCCTCTGCTGATGGATCCAGACCTTGTAAATCAGATCACTTCTCTGGGTGTGCTGGAGTTGGTCACGATTCTTAGGTTTATAGGAAAGGGAGGGCATGTGGCTATGTTTCTCCTAAAACAGAGTTTTGCAAGGAGCACTCTAGACCACCTTCCCACATTGCTTGTGGTTCCTGTAAAACAGGCAGAATACTGAGCATCATCCCAAACCTGCTAAACCAGAATCTTTCCAGTTTGGCACAGGAATCTATATTTTTAATAAGCATATTAGTGATGCTGGTGCACCCCAAATTTTGAAACTCTCTGCCCTGAGGCCAAGGCTATGCTGGATCTGGTAGATTCACAGCCTTCTACAGGGAGCAGACCAAATTGTCTAAACCAAGAAACATTTTTCTTACCATTCCTCCATGAGTAATCATTTTGTTTTATATATGTTTTTATTTTGTTCAGAAAAAAGAATTTCAACAACCTTAACCTTTTTGGCAATTTTTAAAAAATTTTATCATGTGAAGTTTACTCTTCTCTGTTAAAGTGAAATAAAATTAATTTTATTTATTTATTTATATTTTACCCTGTGGAATTTTTTGTTATTATAAAGGGAATAGCTGCACATACCAGAATAGGATTTATTGATGCATTTAGAGACTACAAGCAGCTTGTTTTCAGTTATGTAGACTAAAGACAGTTTTTTGAATAGGATAAGATAATTTTTGTTTTCCTCTCCTTATTACATGCTTAGCATAGTGTCTGGTCATAGTAAATGATTCATAAATGTTAGCTGAGATTATTCTTACTACAACCGGAGCTCTTCCTGTAAGATGGCTGGGGACATCTGTATTAGGATGGTGTTTACTAAATCCAATTTTATTTCAAGGTCTGGAAAGACAAGATTAGGTTGGTTTCTTTCAGATGTCTTAACTCTCATTGTTGTGGACCTGATCATGCTGGTTGTCAGTCAACAACCTTTCTTATACAATCAATACTGTGTCTAACACTGTACCAGACATTGAAGGTCTCCAGGGGTTTCAGTGTTACCCTAAGGCCTGGATTCTAGTGTGTCCTGGTTGTCACTAAAAGCAGCAAAGTAATTTAGAAAGAAACCCATGAATGTGGTGGGTGAAGAAAATACAAACTGGACAGAATGTTTTTCACAATATTATTCACTTTTGAAGCCTGAGTAGTACAATATTATGAAAATATCATGGCTCCTGATTACCTCTAGAAATAGAGGAGGATGACTTTATTGTAACTTGGCCAAGTACTCTAAATGAACAAGTAAGAATTCTTTGAATGGGCTTCTTTTTTTGTGGTTGAAGGTTGCATTCAGTCATCAAATAATTCTGGAAAATCTCAGTCTTGATCTCTTCAAATAGTGCCTCTTCCACATTCTCTTTATTGTCTCTTTCTAGTACATTTTATGTCTCTTTCATTCACTGTAGCTCCTTGTGCGTCGTCTACATTAATCCTTGATTCTTTATTTGGATCCATCTTCCAGTTCTCTAATTCTCTCTTTGGCAACATTAATTTGCTACTTAATCTATCTCTTTGAAATAACTAATTTTTTTCTTATTTTTTGTAATTTCTTCAACATTTTTAATTGTAAATTGACAATTTATCATTGTATATATTTCAGTTCTTTTTGAGTTGTGTTTAATCTGTTTGTTAATCTTCTTATTAATGTATTTATAGAAGTTCTATTTTTTTTCCCCAAATTTACTTGGTCTTTCTTACGGTCTCATTTCTTGCTCATATGCTCAATCTTCTCCTTTATTCTGTGAAAATATAAACTATATTATTTTTTATTTTTGCATCTAATTCTAATATATGACATATTTGCAGGTCAGACTTTGCTATCTGTTATTTCTGCGATTCTTTCTCATGATACCTTGCTATTGTATATATGCTTGAGTTTTGACTGTGAGTTCATATTTCTTGAAGCTTTATCTGTGAGAATTTTTTGAGACTGAGATAAAGTTGGGTTTCTCCAGAGCCTGGTATGTACTGGCTTCAACAAGGTTCAATCATCCTGTGAGGACTCCTCGGGGTCAGGCTGCTGGCTTTATTTATTTATTTTTAATAGCTTTTTGAAGTATGATTTATGTACCATAGCATTTATCTGTTAAAGTTTAGCTTTATTTTTGTTCACACTTTTACAAGACTGTCGATGGACTGAGTAAAATCCAGAAGTTGACATACTGAAGGAAAACGTTGAGGTCCTTGTTGTGGGAGACAAGGGAGAGGACTTGAATTATTTCGATGGGAAGAAATGAGGCAAGCAAATGACTCAGGTATTCGTAGAATAAAGCATTATTCATGGCAATGTGGTCTAAGGAAAACATAAGTACAGTAAGTGGAAGGAGGACTAGAAAATTATACTTGGTTGATTCCTTCTTATCCGTCAGGTTGCTTTGAGAATGCCAATTCTTCCCTAAAGCCATCCTTGAGCTCTCCTAATCCGGTTTAGGTGTCCCTGAAATGTACTCCCAGAGCTCACTGTATTTTGTCAGTTAGAGTAATTATCACAATGTGTTACTAATTACTCGGTTACTTTTCTGAGTCTTCCTCTAGAGAGCAGGAGTCAAAAAACTCCCGTGGGCCAAACCTAGCCCACTGCCTATTTTTGTACATAAAGTTTATTGGAACACAGCCAGACCCATACATTTAGGTATCCTATATAGCTACTTTTATGCTATAATGACAGCATTGAGTGGTTGCAACAGAGACCCTACAGCCTGAAGAGCATAAAGTATGAACTATGTTCTTTTATAGAAGAAGTTTGTTCTAGTATACAATCTCTGTGAGGGCAGAGCAGTGTCTGCCTTGTTGCATCTCCAGCACATACCACAGTGCTTGTCTCCTAGAAGCAGCTAAATAAACACAAGTAAATGCGTGGACTGAAAGGTTTCAGAGACTTCTATTTTGGGATTATGTGGAATTTTGAATGAGTTAAATCTAATCAGAAAAACAAAAAGAAGTGGATATGTAGTAGATAAAAGCCCACTAGAAAGAATTTTTAAATATGTAAATTAGGTATTTATTAAACCATGGGAAGGCCACAGACCTTATCAGCAAACTATGGGAAAATTTTCCAGGGGGTTGAATATGGAAAGGGAAGGAACTGAATTAACCCACAACACAAAATAACATACTGTGAACTCAAAAGAGCCTGCACTGTAGCAGTCCACAAGAGGGTTTAGTTTCATCAAAACACCACCATTCATATTGTTAAAATAATACGAATTTAAACTTTATTAGTACTGTGGTTTTATTGTTTTAGAGAAATTATAAGCTTCAGGAGTTTGAACCTAGTGTGGATTTGGATACATTTTAGAAAATTGTAATAAAAATAATCATGTCAACACTTGTGGTGTGTGCTTACTTAGCTTCCTTTTAAGACAGGTTTATTGTTTCCTAAAGTTTGAGAAACTCCTTTTAGGATCTCTCTCCAGCTAAGGGGCTGCTTTACAGGCTCTGGGAATCCATTTTAATGGACCCCCGGGCTTTCATCTCCCGGGGCTCCCACAAGCCGGATGCACTAGACAACGTTTTCTGAATTCAGTTTCCACCTATGATTTCACTTAGCACCAACATCAGTGGCATCTAAATCACCGTCACCAGCCCTTGGGCTTTACAGAACACTTTCGAACTCAGATCCACGCCACTGATCCCACGCCCCACGGCCCCCTATCCGTGTTTCCTTCCTTGGTGCAGTTTCCCAACCTTGCCTGGCCCTAACCACTTGTTAAAAACACAGACTTCCAGACTGTTCTTCTGGAAATTCCAGATGTCTAGAGATAGGGCCCAGAGATCTGTGTTTTAACAAATGTCCCAGGAAGGTCTTACCGGCAGGCAAGTTTGAGGAACAGAGCTCTAGGGTTTCCTGGGTTCCCCACGCTTCTTCCCCGAGGGTGCCTCGCGGCTCGTAGGCCCCGTCGGGTCAGTGACTGGCTTGGTGAGCTTCACTCCGCCGGGTTCTTCGTCTGGTGGCCGCCGGGCAGACCCCGAGTGGAGGCCAGTTAGTGTCGGTACTTCTCTGTTTTAGTGGACCAAGCTGCAGCCAAAATAGTTTTTGGCAGATCACCATTTTCTTGCCATCATCTTTAATGGTTTCAGTGCCCAATAAACATGTTTTCCCAGTAATGGACCAGGAAAGGAATTGTCTGAATCAAAATACAGCCTGTACAACATCCTTTCCTCGGTTAAAACCCAGACTCCTGAGGGTGGCATTCAAGGCCATTCATCATGTCAGCCTCACTCTTTGCCACTTTCCCTCTACACTCCAGTATTCTCCAGTATGCCCTGTTCTAAAAAAAATTTCCCCTCCCTTCTCTACCCCAGAAGAATTTTATCATAATGTTTATAAGTAAGGGGGGCAGCTAGGTGTAGTGAAAAGAACCAGGCACACCTGGGTTCCATGCCCGGCCCTGCCTCTCACTAGGCACCTGGTTTTGATCAAACTATTTAACCTTAGCAAGTTTCAGCTTTCTTTTCTAGTGGTGGGACCATGATTTCTACTTTCAGAGAGTGCTGTCAGGGTTCAGTGAGTGGCTATGTGCACATCTCCTGGCACATAACTGATGCTCATTAAATGCTGGGTTCTTCTCACCTTGTTTTCTTTTCTTCCATGACAAAGTTATTACCTTTTCCTTGTAGAGAGACTAAAAGCAGCCCTTTGGTGATACGGTTTTACTAAAAATAATCCTTTGGTGATATGCTTTTAAATAACCACAAATAAGCCCACATTGCTCATGTTTTCAATAGCCTCTATCCAGATAAAAGTCAATGTTCAACTCAAATGAGTGCCCTGTTGTTGAAGGCATGAAGCTGAACTTTCATCCTGCTCCAAAGGGCA